GAAACTACCCCTACCAATGAAAAACTTGAGTCATTAGGTAGTAAAATAAATAATATTTTATTTAATATTTTTAAGTTGGTCAAAAATGTGTTTATCTGAAAGCTAAATTAATTTTGTCTAAAGATGCATATCGCGTATGAAAGAATGAGAGGAAAATGTTATGAAAACAAAATTATTTGTGTCTCTATGGATCAGGTCAACGAGGCCTTTGACTGCGTATCCTTTTAGCTCCCCATATGGTTCCCCCTGCAGGTGTTGCATCCACCGAGGAATGACCTCGAGTCTCTAGTTTGAACCAGCAAGAAGACTTTCGCTGTAAACACTTCCCTCAGGAGGTTCTAGGCACCTTCCACTGAGCTGTAGGACTGGACTTGGTATAAGGGAAGTCTGGATCTCATCCCACTTAAGTTTTAGTTTTTTCAGAACTATACATTAACAAAGTCTTTGTAGATCAAATAATTGTATTGTATGAGGTCAATGAAAAGACTCTCTATATATCTCTAATATCGTCCATGAAAATTAAGGATTATTATTTTTATTGACTGTGCAATATTCTGTGCAATATGCTGACTGTGCAATATATGTGAATATAATAGTCATACCACTACCTCACCGTTGCTCCTTACCTACTACACTTTAATGTAAAAGTCAGTCCACCTGTATATAAGCAATCCTGATTGTACATATGTCACCTCAAATCTCTGTGTTACTCCCTTGTATTTTTTTTATCTCTTATTTTTATTTTTTTATTTGTATTTTATTTTTATTTGTTTTTATTCCTAATGCACCTTTTCCTCCTTGTTTGCAGCTTCTTGGAGTACTATGCCAATATGTGACCAGTGAATTTCTGTAATGTGTTACTGGAGAAACACTCCTTCTTTCTTCAAGGCAGCAATGTTACTGGTTATTCAACACTCAACCCATTTTGCCTTTTTTAGGAAAGATGAGAACGGATTTGTCTAAAATAAAAAAGGAAAACCATCTTTAAGATGTTGATAAAACCAAAATATCGTAACAGTTCACATGTCACCTCAGCACAAGTTTGCTTACTGCTTTAGATGAGGAAAAACAATCTTTACAAGAAATCATCTAAATGAAGAGATTAGTTTAGAAATTATTAAAGTTTATTAGGATAAAAAGACAATGGCATATGCTACATTTATCCAGTATAGTGTTTGAGTAACAAAATCAAAACAGACATATAATACTATTACAGCCTTTTAATATATACAAACTTTGAATAGATGCTATATAACACAAATTCTGCAAAACACAAAGTTGTCCATTTTCCTTCATCTGGTTTAAACGCATTTCTTTTTTTTCACATTAGTGTTTCCATGTAGACTAGATATTTTTCCAAAGTATACAATACCACCAGAGATGCCAGAAAGTTATTTTAGTGTCATTTCTTATCTAATATTAGCAAAATCTTAAATAGAATACAATATTGTAAATAATAGCATAAAGTTTGTTATGTTGTCCATGGATTTTATTTTGTTTTCAGTAGTTTGGTTGTGTCATTTTGTAGTGTATGTTTGCAAGTCTTTAATGCAGCTGTGAAAGAAGGTCGTTGCAGTCTTCAAATTTTTCCAGCTTCTCCACCACCTCAATCAGTCGTTCAATCTTCTCTGATGGAAGCACCAGCTCTGCGTTGCTCCTGAACTTCTTCCTCAGGCTCTCGCTGGTCAGCGGGTTTCGCCAGTGACCATAGAAGGTATCACAACGTCCCTTCAGAATGTCTCCTCCTACAAGTGTCACCTGAACCTCTCCGTACATCTGGTTGAAGTTAGCAGGGTTGTCATGGGGATGCTCCAGCCGAACGCGGTTCAGCAGAGCGTGCAGCTCAGGGCGGCTCATGGCCCATGGGGTGAAGGATTGCACGGTCACCTCACCATCCAAGAGAGCGCTGCAGGCATTAAACTGGAAGGAGTGGCGGGCCTCATGCTCTGACTCAGGAAAAGGCCTGTTGATGTATTTAGACCGAGGGACTCTAAGCAAGATGTCCTGGACCTGATCTGACCAGAAC